CTGGGCCTCTGTCGTAGGGGCGGCTGGCCCGGTTTCCTTTAGCTGGGCACAAAACAAGGCAAAGAATAGGTGGGTAATACAATACACGTGGGGGCTCCCTGGGGAGTGCAGAGCGGACGTTGCCGGCCTCAGGTCTCGGTGGGGGGAATTTTAAGAGGGAAAGGTAATAAGCAGGGGATAGGTTAGATGAGCCAGAGGCCAGACGTCAGATTGGTCACTCTGACCCCATCCTATAGGTCCTGAGACCTGGGTTACTCCGGGACCCAGAGCATCTTGTGACTGGCCATCTTTCCAGTCCTGGGCCTGCCTCCAGCCACTCTGGGTTCCAGTGAGAGCAAATGGATGTGGCGGGGGCCCACCTAGCTCAGACCAAGACCCTGGACCAAACTTTCTTCTGATCATTCAGTGTCTTTGCTGAGTCTTTGAGCTGGCGGTCCACTTGTGGTCACCTGTGGGAAGAGGTCCTTGCAGTTGTCTGAGTCTGCTCACTGCCTTGTTCCCCTTTTGTGGACAGTGTTTGTCTTAATTTTCTCAAGGCAGGCCTGTAGACAGATGAAAGTGCGTGGAGTTAGTGTGCCAGGTGAAGTCAGGAAGCACCAGCAGAGAAGCCAGGGGACAAGGAGAGCAGTGACAAAGGTGTCAGCAAGCAGGTTAACCACTGCGGCCAGCTAGGGCCGAATGAAGCCAGTTAGGACATGGGCCTCATGTTATTGCTGCCCACAAGAGCAGCAGAGGCTGAAGTACTTGTTCTTGAATTCCCTCTGGTTCTGAGAATAGAGTTTCTTGGAAGCATTAATTGCCCAGCCTGCTTGACTTCTGGCCTGCCTAAAGTGGGGGTAGACCCATCCCCGGAACCAGAGAGAAAGAGACGTCATCCCCTTTCAGGGGCTAGCAATTGCAATCAGAGGGTCTGGGCAGAAATGATGGTGCCAAGGCTGGTTACAAACTACTCGGCCCCTGACTATGATGCCTCCATCCTCCCATTCTACTTCCGACTTGGTCCTCACTTAGGGCACTGGTGCCTCCCCCTATGGGGTGCTCACACTGCCCTGCAGACCCCCTCACATTTACCCCTGTTCCCTTTCCAAGCTCCCCTCCTTCCCAGCAATTAAGCAATTACAGATCACTTGTATTTAGATACTTCCCAATACCCCAAGCCCCTTAGGTTTCTCCTTTCTTCCCCTCCAAACTCTTGAAGTCATCTGTCCTTGCAGGCTCCACTGCCCTTTTACCTGCTGTTACCACAGTAACCCCAAAACTACTACTGCAAAATTCACCATGAAACATTATATAGCTAAAACTAGGGGGTCCCCGTGGTTCTTGTCTCAGCTAAAATCTTCCTGGCAGCTGCAAAGTTTCACCATTCTTGATCATCCTCCATTTGCTTTGACTTCTGGGCTGAACATAAGAGAGGGATTGTCTTTCCAGGACACACCTGTGCTAGTGTTCTTCCTGGAAGTGATTTCTGATTGCACAACTCCGGCTGGCCTGCACGCAGGGAGCCGACACAGCTGGCTGTGGAGAAGTCATGCGTGACAACTGGGGTAGAAAGTGGGGTTGGCTTGGTCCTGCAGGGAGCCAACACAGCTGGCTGTGGAGAAGTCGTGCGTGACAACTGGGGTAGAAAGTGAGGTTGGCTTGGTCCCGGAGTGAACAGCCAACCTTCAGCCATGGCCAGGACCAGGGCTTACCCATAGATGGGGACTGGGAGCACCAAGGTGGGACTTCCTGATTGTACCTCGTGAGACCCTGGCCCTTGGGACTCCATCCTTCCACCAGGACATGGGGCTAGAAGCAGTTACCACAAAGGAGTAGATTTTGCAGCTCTCCCTGGACACCATGGCTATAGTCGAAGGCACCAAGTACCCTGCCTTCAGTGCTGAGGCCCTGGGAAGCTAAGAGCACCAAGTGAGGCCTAGGGTGTGCCTGAGTGGAGTAGTCACTTGTCTTTAGGGATGCCCGGACCCCTCTTTATAGGCAGAGAAATATAGAATCCTGTGGTTCTATGGGGAGAGAGGAAGAAGAGTACCCACTTCCTAAACGAAGCACCTGTCACCCTCTTATAGCTGTGAGTAGGCTCCCACCTGCCCTCAGCTACTGTGTATGGCACCACTGCAAAGGTCAGAGTTCAAGTGTTGTGGCAGTATTTCTGCTTCCTGGCTCAGGCTCTGCCCCAAGTGCAGATGCCTTCACACCTCACCCATGACACCTGGGCTCCTCACCTTGACTTAGGGGCCCTTGGTTAGGACTATGGAGACCATTCTGACCCCTCATCTGAAGTCACAGACTCCCAGGGTTGTGTCCTTGGGCTCTCTGCTGGTCCCAGGGCACAGGTGGAAAGACTAAGGTCCCAGTCTCCTAGACCAAAGGACAAGAATCCTAGAAGTGGAACTTCCTGCCACTGAGGAGGCGAGGCTGGGCCAGGGTTGCTACTAGACTTAGGCACACCAGCCTGGGGAAGCACACTCAGGCCCACACAGGTGTACTGGGATGTGTGCAACTTCGGGCTCGAGTGCAGCGCTTGTGATTCCATGCGCACACCAGCCTCTCATGCCATGTGCTCGAGAACGAAGAAGGGCCTGCTGTCCTCAGAGGAGGTACCCTTGCTGGAAAACAAAGGGGTTCCCCGGAGACTCTCTCTCAGGGTCCCTCCTCTCTGATCAGGTAGGTATTGTGACAAAGTAGACCTTGTCAGTGGCTGCGGGAGGACCAGAGGGTGGGAGAGGCACTGGATCTGGCAAGGTCCAGATGTCTCTATGCTACCAGGCCAGCTCAAAGAGGTCAGCTGGCCCCAATCCAGTCCCTAGCCCAGGTCCCATGGGTCCAGCCTAGGGCCACATAGGAGACGCCTTTGCTCCTTAGACCCCTCACAGGACCAGCTGGGTTTGGAGCAGTCTCCTTGGTCACCACCTCCAGGCAGCCCTCCCTGGTACCCAATCTGGTCCTCCCCCAGGCTTTGGCGGGAAATGGGGTCTCGAGGGTCAAGGGTCAGTAGGGCGGGCCGGGTCCCGGAAGCGGAAGCGAGGCGCACTTCCGGCGCGCAGCGGGCGGCCATGTTGGAGCAGCGGAGGCGGCGCAGAGGCGCGTCTTGGGTCCCCGCGGCGGCGCCGGTAGGTTGGAGCCGCGGGCCTAGCCAAGCCGCGGAGGGGCGACCCTCCAGGCGGCAGGGCGGACGGGCCGGGCGGCCGACTCTTCCCGGACCCGCGGCCTCATCCGGC